AGAAGTGATGTCCGGGTTGGCAGTAGTACCGTCATCAACAAAGGGGTCCTCGAACACTTTGAGTCCATTCGTGGGCGCAGGCTCCGGTTCAGCCTTGGCCATCTCCTCTATGACAGGAGACGGAGCTAGTCCTCCTGCTACAATCTCCGCAGGAGCTTCCAGAGTCTCCTCAACCGGCACCTCTTCAGTCTCAGTCGTGGGGGCTTCGGGTGATGTCTCAGCTGGAGCTTCCACATCAACCTCGCCTTCAGGTTCTGCAGGAGATTGCTCGGCAGGCTCCGGAGTGGGCTCAGGCATTGCCTCAGGAGATGGTTCTTGTGCTGGCTCGGCCTTCGGCAAAGGAATCTCCGCCGAAACTTCCGCCGGCGCTTCTGCCTCAAAGTCCGGTACAGTCGGCTCTTCTGTCGCGGCTCTCTGCCGTCGATCCAAAGTCGGAGGCGACTTCAAGCTCGCGAGGCTCGGCACCACTAGCGAAAGATCTTCGTTGTCCCTAGACGGGCTACTTGTCGGGATCGTAGTCTGCATCCTCTTGGGCTTCGCAGGGCTTGTTCGAGGTGAGTCGCGAGGGGAAGATACAGACTTCGAAAGGGTTGATTTGGCGCCGGGTGACGCATGAGATGTCGCAGCACGAGGCCTGCTTTGGGCTCTCCGTGGAGAGGCCTCGGTCTTCGGCCTCGTTGTGGTGCTCCGAGACTTGGGATTTTCGGGACTGGATGCCTCGGCGGAAGGTCCATCGTGTGTGCGTACTGAGTAGGGTCCGGCCGTCGCGGGTCGTGCCGCCATTTCTGGCCTCCTCTTGGTTGGTCTCATGGGCCGGACAGACATGCCCCCTGAGGCAGTCGGCTTGGCAGATGGCGCCGGACCAGTTGACGAGCTGGAGGCCGCTTGTAGTGGTCGGGCAGGAGACAAATTGGCCATTGCAGAGCCCGGACGAGGCGGCAACTTTTGTGATGCCGCCATCGTCGCCTTCTTCTGTGCCATCATAGTCTCACGCAGAGTCGGCTTTCCAGTGCCCATTGTGCTCTTGGACAAGCCCAGGCCTGGTCTGGCGCGTGTAGTCTCAACTTCCCTCTTAGGGGCGTTTGGGTTGTTGGGGTCCTTGTCGAGGAGCTTCTGCGCAGTTGGTTCTAGCGTATCCTTGAGCCTGTTTCCCCTGTCAGCAAGACACAGCAAATGTCGGAAAAGCTTTTACTTACAGATCTGCCCTGGGTGGCCAGATTTTGGCAAACACCCAAAAGGTGGCACGCATGCGCTCTCTGACGCCAGGGTTCGCGTCGTTGAGACCCTTCTTGATGCATTTTTCCACGAGGTCCAGTCCGCCGCCGTGCTCAATATGGCTCTTATGATGGGCCTCCTTTGTCAGGATCGTCTTCAACCAACCAGTCGCATACGTTCTGGGCTGGACATTCTTGTCCTGGCATGCACCCCAGATGTGCTGCATGATGCGCGAGCTGTAGGTGACCTTGCCGATGATGATGTTGACTGTGGTGTCTGCCTGCTGGGAAGCAATCTTCTTCGTTGCCGCGGCTAGTTTGATGAAGGTCTGCATAAGAAGCTCCACCAAAGGATCCATGCCGGGGCCAAACGTCATGGCGATATCCTGTACCAAGTTGCAGCCCTCCTTGGAAAGACTGGTCCGTAGCGAGGTGATGGCCTTGATTATTCCGTCAAGGAGTCCCTTCAAACCCAACATGAAGGCGTCGGGAAAGTCTTGGGGGACGTTGCCGGCAATCAACCTTCGCAGTTTTGTCATGCTCTCTTCGCGCTTCAGCCAGTTTTGCTCCGATTCCCTGCCCTCAAAGTACGTCATCATTTCCCTAAAGATGTCGTCTAATTCGCGCTGGGTATTGGCATATGACGGCTCGACCTCGCTTCGCGTTTCGGGGGCTGGAGTGACGGGTCGTTCGCTCGCAACTGACGACACACTCGCGGCGAGCTTCGGTCGAGGGGCAGGTGCCGGAGCATCGAGGCCTGGAGTCTTTGGTCGATCGGCTGCCGTGGGCGCAAGCTCCTTGACGATGGCTTGTTCAATGGCGGGGCGAACATTGAAGTTCTTTAGCTGTCTTTTGAGGTCGGACTTGGCCGCGCCGGGAGCATTCCTGCACAACTTCAGTCAGCGCGTATTACGACATGGAAGCCGCGATCAGAAGACATACCGGAACAGCTCAATGACAGTGCTCTTAGCGACGTCGCGCACCATGCCATCAGCATCCTCGAGCAGCTCCATGAGAGTCGGAACGTAGGCGCGGAATTGAGTGCCGTGCTCCTGGTGCATGTACAACAGCCAGTGCATGCTGGCCTCCTTTGCCCTCGGGTTCTTACCAACCATGGCAACATTCTTGACCGAGCGCTCGACATCCATGGGCGCGGCCGTGTAGATGGTGGTCAGTGCCTGCGATGCGAGGCTCCTGAATTTATCCTTGGGGTCGCCGAGCTTGTCAATGACCAACGGAAGTGTGTGTTTCGCATCTTTGGCAATGTACTTTGGTTCTTGTCTCGATAGCCTCGTCAGGAGGTGGTTGAGGGCCGTGAAGCCGGCGTTGACGAGGACGGCGTGCGGCGAGGTAGAGGCGGTTCGGAGACCGTCGAAAATTAGTGGTACGAGAGCATCGGGAACATTGTGCTGCTTGATGCCGGACTTGATGCCGGTGACGTGCTGGACCTTTTGGTCGACGCTGGCCTCGCTGCGGAGGATCTTCTGCAGGTCGTCGACCTGTTCTTCGGTGATTTTTTCCGCCATTCCCCGCAAAACGAGGGTTGGGCTCGGGATGGATGGTGCCTGTTGCGAGTAGAACGCAGTGTCAGCAGTTGTAGGTCTGTATGTATCGTCGATGCTATGGTCGTCGGTTGTTGTCGTCACGAAGGGAGCTTGGGCGAATGGGAGGGTTTGCGCGCCGGGGGGTGGTACGCATCCAGTCAGGACAGATGAACGATGGGGAGGTCGACGATGAGCGAGGGCATGAGTCGTCTAGCGCACCGGGGGGAGGGGGGTGTGTGGTGTCGTTTGAAACTGGTAGGGCAGAGAGAAAGCTTACAACTTTGTGCAAATATGCCTTGGGAAGCGAACAGCAGCACGGAGGAATATCCTAGTGCGAAGAATGTGGCAGATTGGGGCCGGGTTGCGCAGGTGGCAGCAGTGGCAGATGGAGATGGGCAAAATGGGGTTGTTGTTTATGGATGCGGTTGACGTTCTCGAAACCAAACAACAAAGGGGCATCGCAGGTTGTCCCGTGCACCAGCAACACCAGCAAGCCCCCAGCCCGGCGGTAATTGGCTGGGGTTTCCGCTCCTGCGGTGCTGCGGGACGCTAAGAGAAGCCGCGCTAGGTCCCTTATCCGCTTATCGTGAGAGGGGCTACATACGCCGCCACGGACCCTTACCCCTGCAGCCGCGGGGGAGGCACGTTCCCACTCAAGGTAGGCCCCCCGATCGGGAGCTCCAGTTGCCTCTATGGTACCGAGTACCTCGTGGAACAGGGTCCTCCGTCAAGAGGATGTGGACTCGCAGAATTCCTGTTTTCCTCGTCTCGTCAAGACATAAAGCGAGGAGCCTTTCCTGTTTTCATACAACCTCTAGAAAAGAGATCGCGATATGAAATGTGCGTGGAATACTGACGTATCTTACCCTACAACCAACATCCACTTCCGCATGCAAACCACCTACCTCAGGCGTTGAAACTCGAACAAAGTACCTGCATCACATTACATCAACCTTCCTTGTCTAAACCACCACTACCTCACGCTAGGTGCTCACCAAGCCAAGGTACCAGGTAACTCCAACTACCTTACCTAACTTACTATCCGGATCCGTAAGGTCCATCATCTCGAGCTACTGCCTCCCCTCAAAACCCCCCCCAGCGGGACGTCTCTCTCACAGATGGTCCTCCCACCAAACACCACGCCCAACCCCGATCCCATCGCCGTCTTCCTCCCAGCCATGTCGTCCGCCGCCGCAGAATCAACCTCATCCTCCGAGACACCAGGCTCCGGCCCGGTGCCCCCGGCCGCGACCCCGCTCCCTGTCCACCTCAAGCAGTCATCGGATCAGCAACCGCTAGCCCCCGCCGCCGGCGCCAGCAAACACCCCCGGCCCCGTCCCGTCCCGGACTTCACCCTCCCCAAGCTCCGCCTCGAGATCCGCGACCTCAACGACCATGCCGCAACCCACTTCCTCTCCGCCGTCAACGCCAGCACCGCCCTCGCCACCGCCGTCCGCTCCGTCCTCACCCTCCTCTACGAGTCCCCCTTCAACCACACAACCCACGTCCCGCCAACCCGCTCCGTCACCCTCATCCTCCGTCCCATGGGTGGCGTCGCCTACACCACGGGCTCCGACCTCGACGACGACCACAAGGAAATCCACTTCTCCCTCTCCTACATCGCCGGCATCCCCGCCGACCGCCGCACCGACGAGATCATGGGCGTCCTCACCCACGAAATGGTCCACTGCTTCCAGTACAACGCCCAAGGGACGTGCCCGGGAGGCCTGATCGAGGGCATCGCCGACTGGGTCCGTCTCAACGCCGATCTAAGCCCGCCCCATTGGAAGCGCGATGCCAGCGGGAACTGGGACGGCGGGTACCAGCACACGGGCTACTTCCTCGACTACCTCGAGGCACGCTTCGGTGAGGGCACCGTGAGGAGGATCAATGAGAAGCTCCGTACCCAGAGATACGAGGAGAAGGAATTCTGGACGGAGATTGTGGGCAGGCCCGTCGAGCAGCTGTGGAAGGACTACGGCGACAAGATGAAGGAGGAGGAGACTGTGATTGTGAACAAGGACGACATTTCCGACGATGATGTTAGATTGGGGAGGATCAGAGCCGCTGATGAGGTTCCGCAGTGAGGAGGGCGTTTGCTACCAGTTATAGATGTATTGCCTGTTACTTTGGAGTTTGTGATTTTGATTGCCAGGACACGGCGTAGTATGGCGGATACTCTTCACTAAGACCGTCGAGAAAGACATGGATCACGGGGGGAAATGCGTTCATAAACCAACTTAAGTTTGACTTCAAATCATGTGCCTAACCGCCCAAAATCTATGAGTGCCCTGTTTCCCAGTCCTGTTGATCCTTTTGCGCCATTCCTTACTATTACCGTCGCCGTGCTTGAGCGGGTTGACCTAGTCGATCGTGTTATACCAAAACAAAAGAAAGACAAACCACGTTTATGCGTGAACACGAGCGGGTGCAGTTTCGCTGCGAGTCTCACTCTCACTGACAACACTTCCAACCTCGGACCAGCTGGCGGGAGTCATCATACCCTCGCTCTCACTTAGTACGTCATAGTAACGGCTGTTGTCACCGGCTCTGGACGAAGCGGCATCGTTGGCGAGATCCTCGCCAGAGCCAGCGAGGGATGCTGAGTCGGTGGGTGTGAGTTCGCCTTCGCTGACGAGCTCGGGCTCGGACATGGGTACGGGAGGCGACATGGGAAGCGGTGAGTAAAAGTTGGAGGGGCTGGACCCTTGTGCCCAGGCCTGGATGGAGGCATAGGCTTCTTCGCGGTTCTCTTGGCCAGCAGTCATGTACTCGTCAGCGCCGAGCTCGCGGTCGAGAGTCGTGGACTTTTCGGACTGGGATGAAGTCTCAGAAACGTCGACCAGAGGGGGCATTTGGGCAATGGTGGCGGCAATGTCTCGGGGGCGTTCGTCGGCGTCGCGGGTGGTGGCGCTGTAAATGTCTGACACGGCCTCGTCGTGGCCGGGGGATAGGGAGCTGGGCTCCTCCATGACTGGCAATTCTTCCTGATCGATCTGGTGCTCGTCGGCAAAAGGGTTGGCATAAAGCGAGGCGTTGAGGCCGCGGACACCCTCCGCACGGCGTCGGACAAGGCCCTCGTCATTGTAGGTGTTTGCGCCCGTATTGAAAACGAAAGATCCCTTCTCGCCACTCTTGTCCTCGTGCAAAAAGTCGTCGAAAGACCTGCCCCGCGTTGGGCCTGGTGGCGGCAGCTCCCGCGATCCGGATTCTTCGGCTTCAATTCTCTCCTTTTCCTTCTTGGCCAAGGCCACGGCATTCCAATACAAAATCTCCTCGCGTTGGCGGCGGCGGGTCTCGTCGTCGGCGTCAACTCCGGCGTCAGCCCCTCCACGGGACTCTAGGAAGCCCTGTGCGTCCTCGGGTCGGTTGAACATTGGCGGGCGGTCGTTAGGCTCGAAGCCCTCGCCCAAAGAGTGTAGGGCCATGGCGATGCGTCTCCGAACATCGTTGGCGTATCGCTGAAGTTCCGGCGATTCGTAGATGGCAATAGCAGCTGCAACGGCAACAGATACAGCAATAATGCCGGCTGAAGCCAGGGCGCCGTTGTTAACACCAGGCATCGTCAAGCGTCGAAGCAGACACGGTTATAGGGAACGAGAAGGCGAGAAACGGTGAGGTAGAAGGGAGCGAAACAGTGTGGTTGCAGCTTTGCAAGAGGATAAAAATACAGATGAAATAGCAACCCAAGGAACGTAACTGTCAAGCTCTAAGTTGGCCACGCGCCCGAACAAGTCGGGATTGCGTGGTCCTGGAGGCCATTTGCCACAGGCCTGACCACCTCAGGCAAGCAACGTGATTCGCAAGAGCGCTGACGCGGGGTAGCGCAGTGTGCGTGTGTCTGTAATGTAGGCCAGAAGGAATACCTAGCAGAACAGCAGATCGTCGGGCGGTGTTTGGGGATGCGGGCATGGGGACTCGGGGGGGGGGGGGGGGGGGGTTCTATCCATTGGAGACGGAGGGGCGGTACATGGAGGCGAGAGGCGGCGACAAGGGGATGATGGTTGTACAACTGAATGTCACTTACCTTTGGCGGCGATTGGCACCGGCATTTTGAGCAACCTCTGTCTGATCAACAGGCCAAACACGCTTCGAAAAAAGAGTAATGACCAGAGGTTGTGGATGCGAAAAAGAGAGTGTGTGAGGTAAGGTAAAGTAAGTAGGTGAGGAAAGTGGTAGGTAGTAATGTTCGGAGAGGTAAAGTAAGGGAAGGGATGATGGTGTAAGTGGAAGAGTGCGTTGCGTTGCGGCAGGCTGGAGACTTAGATACTCTGCGACGGTACCTTTCTTACCTTTTCTCACCTTAGCCTTTCTCTACAACGGTGCGGATTCTCTTGGGGGTGATTGCGTATCCCCTTACCGCAGTTCAAGCTCCCTCACTCCATACCTTGGTAGGCATGCCGCAGCCGTTAAGGTACCTCGAGATAGGTCGGCAGGACGGGAGGCCTTGGAAGTAGGTACCTTGACGAACGCTCCCGGTGGCCCCGTACCGCTATTCTTCCAGACCGAGTACCTCTTTTGCCCTCGCCAAAGTCGGATCCAGGGCTGCCACAAAGGGGGAAGGCCAGGAACGTCCAACCAATAGCCCGCTGGTGCTTGCCCATACTTGGTGGGGGATCCCTGGACGTGACTTGCGTAGGGGGCGTCTGAATGGCTTAGCACCGATAAGATGGTGACAGTTTGACTTGGGTTGACTTTTGTAGGCCTCGTGGTCCGCCTCGCCGCGAGACAGGCATGGACACTATCGTCCGAGTCCGCGGCGCCCCCAAACGTTCAACGAGTCACCCACCGCTTGCTAGAGAGGAGGGGGAGGCACCACGCATTTGGGAGGGCGCTTGCGCGTGCTTGATGGGTCTTAGGTTGGTTCATGTTTGGGGGGCGCTGCCGCATGGCAATCCAGGCACCCACCCAGGTCGTTTGACTGACCTTGTGGATTGGTAGGTACTTGTTGCCACCCACCGCATGCTTCCTCGTCTTTGCCAGAGCCTCCAGCTGCGCCCGGCTGGAGGAAGCGTGGCGTCTGTTGCTGTCGCCCAGCCAAGATGGAGAAGAAGACCCCAGGTTCCGGCATCCTTCCGTCGGTATCGCGAGGCTGCCATCCGCGGCGCGAATAACTAACCGGTAGTCGACGAACGGCGAACAGACTTGTCAAGCCGAGGAGACCCTTTCATGGTCGAGAACGAGACGTGCATGTCCCACATAAATCTTGCGGGTGTTGAGTGCCAAATCGCCCGCGTGACTCGCTAACGCAAGGTCGGTGTGCAAGCAACCTCGTCACGATAGCATACTCCGACACGCCATGCAGTGGCTTGTTGAGCAAGATGGAACGTTGAGTACAACTCTTCGATTGAAAAGTTTTTCCAACATCAACTCTCCCGTTGATCAGGCCGTTGTGGGCATTCCGGGGCCATGCGGAGATCAACCGCTAATGTAAGTTCGACGCTTCGAGCTGCAAGATGAAGTTTCCGGTCACTCTTCTGATCTGGTGGGTACGTGGAGGGAGTGAGGTGCTCTCTAATTAATTTGCTTGCTTTCACAATTTATGCTTGGTGCTGCCGCCCACCGGCCTAAGTCACCGGATCCGGCCAAGCTGGACCCATCTTGAGAACTCGTCGGCACCGGTGTGTGATCGGCCCCACTCCGGACTCAGTTCTGATTCTGCTACAACCTCATCGGCGGAGCGGCCTAGCGGTCCATTCGATCCCGACTACAGAGCAAACTCAAGGGTACGTCTGTGTATCCTGTCTCAGGTAATCATTTACGCATTCACAATCCGATCGTACTGTCGATAGTTTATCAGCGCCAATTTACCCTAGCGTAGAATCTGGGGCAAAGAGGACGACGTACTACAAAGAGAGAGCCCTCAATTAGAAACGCGTCGAGGTTTTGTACCTCAATTACTGGACTTGAACGAGACCTCTACTATCCTCAGCTCGAATGAGTCGACGCTCGACCAACGCAATGCCAAGTCTCTCGAAATGCCCCCCTTCACGCTCCTCAACTAGAAGTACAAAGTATTTTCTTTTGTCTCCCAAGAGAGTTCCGGGGTGCTTGATCGGAATTCCAATCACTTCCTGCTGTTCGGCTTGTCTTCCCAAGACCACCGCGTCTTGTATGTCCGACACAGCCAAATGTCCGGGTTTATCCACCCACATCTCGCCAGTGAGGTGTTCCTCTTGGCTTGTGGGATCAATGATGCGGTTGCACAAACCGTCATCATGGATCCGGTATGCTTCAGGGTTGATCTGTAATTTCACATGTCGTGCCGCCATCGAGCCGGCGGCGTCAACCTTTACGGTGTCGTCCCACTCGAGCAGCTGTGAGATTTCGGCAAACTTGATCGGTCCAGTGTATGCCATCCAGGACCAAGACGGTACTTGGCTGTCTGCTTCGAATGCTATTTGTTCAAGAGACTCCTCCTGCGCTCGTCGCCATAAAAGACCTCGGTGTAAGGCCCTATCAAAGACTCCGTATCGGATGTTGGTGTCCAAAGCGCGGCCGAGCTCCTGGGCCAACGCGTAGATGGCAATAGGCCTGTCTGACTGTTGGGTGATGTCGAGCTGGGTGTAAGTCTCAAACAAGGTCGTGAAGAGTTTGATCTTTGTCACCAGGGCGCGTTCTTTTAGAGATGAAGGGAAGTCGGGATCGGATAGCAGAGATGCCTTTCCCTCGCTATGACAGGTACAGTTATTATCTCCTCGACAGATGTATGATATGGAGTGACTTACTTGCGCATGTACGTCAGACTCTCGCACCTCACGCCACCGCCGCACTCCCAATAGGTCTGTCTCTTGGTGAAATGTATCGTCCTCCTTGCTAGCGCCCGTTCCTGGAAGACCCATGCGCGGGAGTTCAGCACCGCCAGGCCGACGTCACCCGAGAAATCGTCGACGTCTTCGCAGAAATACACGGGACCGCGCGAAGACTGCGGAACGAAGACAGACTTGCCTGGCGATCGCGGCCGTCGGAGGAAGCCGTCGGTAGAACAAGCCGCAGATGACGCGGCGATGATACAGTAGGCATTGCGAAATATTCCTGCCATCTTCTTGCCTTCCGAGAGCCAATCCTCTCTGTCTCCTTGCAATATGCAAAGAGAATCTATCCAGAGATACTCCTTTCCCAGGGCACGCGTGACATGGATTGCATCCTGGAAGTTGGCTGGTAGGCTCGAGACGGAAATCCCCTGGGCGAAGCGCTCATTTGCATTCTCACGAGTTGTGGACCAGGGTGGACGACCGTTGGGATGGCTGCCCCAACAGTGAGACAGGGCAATGTAGGAGACATCTCCATGTCCAGTTGTTATGATGTCCGTAGCAACCAGGTGAACAACATCTGCAGCAGAGCTTGCGGAACCTCCTACGCGAATGAACCGAGAAGGCTGTTCGTTGGAACTAGGTTTTTGGGCGCAACCGGCCGGGTGTCCGCATTTACCCTCGTCGCATAGGCGAATCCACTCTTTGATCAGGCTGAAGTGTTCTGGACTTCCTGAATCCAAGAATGCTGGAAGCCCTGGAAACAAGCCCGGTTCTTTTTCCCATGGAAGCGAGCTTTCGCTTTCGGCGTCACTTCTAGCATCCTCTGACAATCTGATCACGACCTCTGATTCTTCCGATCCCGAATTCGAGCTTTCACTTTCGACATCGCTTTCAGCGTCAGTCTCATCATCGATTTCGGCATAGCTTCCAACGTCCTCAAGAACACTTTCCGCCGTCTTTTCGGGCCGCGTAGATTCGTTTTCTGCGGCTGCAGCCAGGTCTTCATCTGCGTTGGGTGTGAGGCAGACTCTGAATAAATGCCGAGCGTTCAGTAGCTTTGTCTTTGAATGATCTCCCGCTTGATAGTTGGACAGCATGCGACATAGATCGCAGCCATCTCTGGGTTCATGAAGGGTACCGAAGGTGTTCTGAAGGTCAATGACTCTGCACTCGTCGCAAAGCTTAGACTCGGGAGACGATTGAGCCTTGGTGGAATTTTCTTTGCGGAAGAGCCTTTCTGGAATCGTATCTGCCAGGTACAGCCAAGTATCGATACCGAGAAACCGACGATGATGACGCAAATTGGCTTCATGAGCACTAATAACGTGTGGCGTTCCGTCATCGTTATTGTAGATGAAGTCACCCGGCGCATAGTCGTATGTTCCGACGTCAATTCTTCGGACGCCACCGGTGAAGATACCTCTTTGTATTGGCCTGTATGACCAGCGTCCGTTCCTATCAAAGGAACCAGACATGATGTCGATAAAGCTCAAGGCTCCATCATCGTTGTACGGAAGGTTTCGGCGGCCACAACCGAGCGGGCGGCGGGGGGGCGGAGGTCGGGAGCCGAGCTCGCCTGGACCGCAGTCCTGAATGTACGAGGAGTCATCTAAAGGGTCGTCTTGGATGTCGGAGGCCCCCTGTGCATGGGAGAACCTGTCGCCCAACACGAGCTCGAAGCCTTCTGTCCACCGGGGCCGCCTCGGGTCATTCTGAGGGAGGGAGTCGATTGCTGCGTGTGCTAAGCGGATTGCCTCGAACATGTCTCCCATGTCGGGCTGTATATCCCGTTCTGAGAACCTCATTTCGAGGAATAATGCAAGGTCGACCATGCACTCAGCTCTATCTGGATGGTCTTGAGGAAGAGAGTCTAAGAATTTTTGCAAATGTGAGATATTTTGTAACAGTATTTCTTTGGTGATGATTCCCTCTTTCGCAGGCGGCTCCGTCTCTGCCGCAGCTGCCACAGCTCCCTCCTCACCCGAGTTCAACGGTTCAAGTGCGAGCGATTTACTTTCGGCCATGGCCCCGTTGCTATGGACAATCGTGATTGTATTGACTTATTGTTGAGTTTTCTCTGTTCGAAATTCGGCCAGGAAGATCCCTGAGTACTTCGACCAAACATGCATGACCAAGACGAGGTCCTACCCCGCAGGCCTATGGTGGCTAACACACAATATGTGCATCAAGTATTCTGTAATGGAACATAAGCAACACCTCTCGGAACGGAAGAACAACTCATAGGCTATGACAAGTCATGGTGAGATACGGATACATTGAATACTGAATGTGCAGCATATCCAAAAATAAAATAAAATAAAAAATACAAGGATATGCTAGGTATCTACAAAGGTTTATCTAAAGCCGAGGAAGAGAAGTGTTTACGCAGTGTCCTCGCTCGCGGGGCGGCAAGGCGCAACAGGAATCTCGGCGCGGCTCCTAAGGTAGGCGGGGCGATCGGGGAGCCACCGGCATAGGTAGGTAGGTAGCCCGTTACAATCGATGATGTTAGGTAGTAACGGACTGGCCCCTTGGGAGCCTCCGGGATCGTTCGGCTAATCAGCAGCCTTGATGACTTTACCTTTCTGCTTCATCCGTGCCGTGCCGCCAAAGCGTTGAATAACACATAAATAATTCAACCACCACGCACAGATCAAAAGGATAAAATCAAAAGGAGGACATACAACACCAGGTATTCGCTGGTCGTCACCGACCCAACTACTAATCCGGCCCTCATTGGCTTATCTATGGGAGAGCGGACGGGATCCCGAGTTTTCCAATGGGTATGGTCGTATGTGGTGGTACACCGAAGGGGAGTGGCTAATATTGTGAGATCGAGCGAGGTTGAATGGACGTTTTCCTCGATTGGAAGCCGTTATAAGTAAATATCACTCGGGAGGAAACTAGCCCGTGTTTCAACTTATACATATCCCCTTCGTCTCGAGTCGACGGTTGCTCGATGGTCCACTGTATGGAGGATAGCCTGTCTGGTGATCATTTACCTTCCTGGTTATGCAACAATGGACTCGGAAAGGTTACAATCAAATTGAGCACGGAAAATTCAGAGACATTCGTAAGTTGGAATAGAATTCAGCATTAATTCCGTGTTTGCAGTCACGGGCTCCCGTCGCCTCAGCAAATGATACTTGCTATCATTCGGGGTTTAGGAAGACGCAACATATGTGATCCGTCACTCATTGAACCCCATCCAAAGCCGATGGCGCAATGGAATCGTCTCGCGTGGCTATAATACTTCAGATCACATGCTGGCTTGGGTATGATACTTCATGAAGCCAAGCACTCCATCCACAAGGCACAATGTACTTGGCATCCAATGACTAACGTTCCTTGAGTCGAGCTTTGGTGGGGGGAGAAGAGCCATGCTAGTATCATCCGCGATTCGTTCTTCGGGCCACGGAGATATCTAGCGGCTCCGGTCAATGAACCGTGATGGAAGCATCGGATCATTTGCAATCCCGTTCACAATCGGACGTGAGGACTGGCAAATCACGAAGCCGGCGGTCAAGCAACACCGACCCCGACAGACATAGCTACCAGTTGGCCGCCAATTCTTTTCTTCCTTCTTTGCCGCTCTATAGTGTTCACTAGTCTTCGGGGCCGACTCGGTGCTCCTCGGTGATGTACGCTTAGTCGGGGGCAGCGGAGGCTCTCCGAATCACGAATTCGCCGCTCAGACGTTGGGCTAATGTAGCCCTACAGGATGCATGTACAACATGACGTCCTACGGTTCTAGCGGCTTCAAAACTAGCGGGATGAAGAGAAGCTTGTATCATGGCCAGCTAGGTGCCGTGAGATGACTAACTGCTGTGATAAGTGCTTTGGGTGAGGAAGCCGCAACCCACCTTCATCTGGGTCAGGGTCCGCAAGACGAGATCCATAGAGCCAGCGTGAATTGTAGTCCTTGACCCTTCTCAAAAAGGTCATGCTGCCATGCAGTGCATGTAGAAGGTCAGTGGTCGGATCGGGATTCGCTCTTGCTGGCTTTAGTCTCCGGAAGTGCCGGATGTTAGTCCACTCGTGGGAAAGGGTCCTTTTGACGGGTTCGTTGGATTTGGTCAGCGAACGATGTACACAGTATGCGATGGAGAGTGAAGGGTGGAAAGAAATAAGTGTATTGTCCATCTTATTCCCGACGAAATAAGCAAAAGAAGCAGAAATGTTAGCTGCGCGCTGCTCTAGACGCCAATGTTTCCCAACCTCCGTGCGGACCCTGCTTTCGCTGCTCGCCCTTTCGCCTCAATGCAGACCGGCGCCTTCTCAGCCATTTTGCTTTGATTAATTACCAAAGACATGCGCATCGGGATTGACGGGCACAGCATGCCCCCGAATATGGTGTTGTGGAGTCCAATGTCTTGCCGTCGACTCCGACCAAAGGTCCGATGCTGGGGTTGTAGGGCTTTCCTGTTCTTCCATGTGTCGCGCTCTCGTAACGCCGTGGTTGCGCCGTTTAAACAAGTGATGGGCTTTTACAATCCTATCCCGTCGCCGTATTTCGCCGCGCCTTTTACGCTGCAGACCAACTTCCTCGGATTGAGAAATGTTCAACGCCTTCTTCTAGTGGGTGCTGCTGACGGTGGAAGCAGACGATGAGCTGGTCTGTGAGTCGGTAGAGTTTGTCCTCGTCGCCTTCGTGCGCTCGCTTGGGGACCGTGTTAGTGCGAAATGTCAGGGAGATCGAGCACGGTTGCTTCACTTACTACGTAGAGCGGTCCTGAAGGTGGCACTCATACTTGGCAGCGCCAGTCTTGAACTGGAAACGGATTCCCTTGTTCTCTAGTACGGTCTGGAGGTGACCCTTCTGGGCATCGGCGGAAGGCATGTTGAAGTTTGGAGAGGGGGCTTGCTCGAAGGTGGTGCTTGAGATGCGGTTGGCTCCGGAGAGTTTCAATGGTGTCAGATGGTCGATGAAAGTTGAACAGGCAGTCAAAAGAATAAATTGCTTGGAAGTGAATACTCGAGGCAGAGTGAAGGGAGCAACAGCTTTTCTATATGTTACAGAGCAAAGGGTTCCGCAACACTAACACGGCTGCCGACTTATCCAGGATTCCTGGCTACCCGCTTAGACTCGCAATAGACACGCGCGGAAGGTAAAGCCCTAGCACTGGCGAACCGTGAGATTCGCTGATTCGGGGACGAAGACTCTTGCGCAGAGGCAGTCTACCCCGCAAAGGTCCACTGTCCGGACAGGTAGGGCAAGGGGAGCCGATATGAGCGATATTCGAATATGAGCTGGGGGACTGGGAATGGCTGTGAACCCCGAGTGTAATCGCGAGATGGTAGTCATTCGTTCATTTAACCTGCATGGTACCCCATATTGCTTAGTTTGCGGATCACTCGGTCACAGTGTATTCCTAAACTTGTTCAAGGTAGATACATGCTGAGGTGCCAGACCGGGAGACCGGACTCCGGAGCATTGTTCCTGGCCCCATGCCGCCGTTCTGTAGTAAGGAACTCGAGTACGCGACGGTCAGCATTCGGCAAGTTGATGTTGTAGGGCCCATCTAGGATCGACACTTGAGCTTACATTATCATGAAGTATTACTCGAGCAACGTATTACTCCGTACCAATTGCTACCTTCATCTGTTTCCGGAAAGACATAATACACCATTGGGGCTTTCTTCTTTGGGCAGCTGGCGATGGCCAATCCCACCCTCCCGGTTGTCCCATTCGCATTCCATGACAGTTCTACCATCGCTCATCTTCCGCTCTCCCTTTGTTTCGTAACGCGGCATATCCCTTGGCTTGACGCTCGCAGCTTCTCTTGACTTCCATACTCGTAAACGTCCAACATTTGGTTACAAACCGTCACTCTCCAAGCTTACGTTGCCCTTCCTTCTGAGTGCGACAAAGTACGCCTCTTTAGAATCCTATGGTTGCGTCAGCGGAATCCAGCAGACACAAGATGGATCTGTGTCCATACGCTGCGAGATGACTCTGGCTTCTCTCGAAAGACCTTGGCAAACAAGGTTTTCAACTTCTTTTCAAATTCTCTGTCCTCGGAACCTTGGTAAAACTTGCAGACGAAATGCCCGCCGTTCTTGAGCGTGTCATTGGCGAACTGCAGTGCCGCTACGCAGAGGTCCTTATTTCCTCGCCTCAGTAACTTGATAGACGGCGGCAGGGAAGGGGAGAATACGTACCATGCTTCCGGCGTGATCTCGGAAGGCCATGCCGCTCGTGTTCATCATCCTATGATATGGATTACTAAGACTGTTCACGCCGAATCCACTGGTCTGGTCCCAAGGTGCTGACATGTCACTCAACACAATCTAGTTCCTTACGTCAGTCTGCAACGTCCAAAAAGATCTCGATGTGGGTGATGAGGAAACAATCATGGGAAAGACTCACATCCACCAATCGACCCTTCTTGGCCTCCGCTCCATCCTTGGCGGTGCTGGAAGTTCCTGACGCTGCTCTCTCCATGTCGATGTAGCTCGGCTTCTCCTCAATGACTGCGGCCTCGCTATCCTCAGACGAGTCTTCGTCATCGTTCTCTTCTTCTTCGTCCTCTTCTGCTGGCGGCGAGATCTTCTTGCGGTGCCTGTTCCGCTCGAGATATTCTTTCACCATACCCTGGACATCGGGCGAAAGAAAGTTGCCTTGAATCGTTGAGACGCCCTTGGGCGGCTGCGCGGGTATGATGTCGATTCCCAGAATCTGGCCGTTGGGCTTTGTGCGTTCGACAGCAACCTGTTTGGCCATGTTATACATTTTATTGTCCCCGCTCGTTGATGATGTCTTTATAGGAATTGACTTACCTGTGACCAACTCCCTGGAGCATATCCCTTCATCGCTTCTCAGCCTCAATGCTCTTAACAGAGACGTCAAAACATCCTCCAAGACTCACCAGATCTACTACCGTCTGTCCCTTGCGGAAGAACTTGTACTTGGCATCCATCTGTCATTCTTGTTACCAACCTAAGCCCCAGAAGGAATATTACTCATAATCTGACGGTTCCATACCTCGAGGAGTTTGAATGCGGCCCGACTCTTAAGTCCCTGCACCTTGGCCTCGCGGGCAAAAAAGTCTTTACCCTGCCTCATCTTCCACCGCGAGTTGGACGAAGATGCGCGCATCTGTAAAGTCCCAGGAAAACTTATTTGACATTGCTTGCATGTTGTAAATTTGCTGAACGGGGTTTGACGTAATGCCACGCTCCACAGAGAGCGATATGCTGCTTCTGGCATTGTGCGGGTGCTTTGTGATAATGGTGATAGGGTTGGGTTTGAGCGCTCTCTTGTCAGTTATCGTTTGATGTGTCAGTACGTTAACTCAGGCTCGACAAAGATAGTTACATATGAGCAATCAAAGTCGTCGAGTCGCTCGATGCTCATGAATAGGATGACGAGAGGTCGAAGGGAAGCTTCTGCAAACGAAGATGAGCTGAGAAACCTAATTGGCCCAAGCTTCTCGGACGGGACCAGGGGTAAGGCACTTTAAAGTGACCTCAGGTTTTGACGAGATAATAGCTTCGTTTCTGACGAAATGTCCGGCATCCTATTAAGGTAGGCACAATTCAAGGCAGTCCTCATTACACAGATATTTGCAACAAAAACTGTTGACGAGTGCGCAATTGTTCGGCAGAACGGCCGCATCGAGCCTCTTCATTGTGTGTTTGGAAAACATTACCGTATTTTTACAGAAACCTCAACAACTAGCCAAGCCTGCGCGTAGAAACAACAGACCCAAAACGCCGCCAATGCATTGCCCCTGTTGACTCCTCCCATTTAGCTAAAATCTAAAGGTAAAGCATTCTTCGCTAGAAAACACAATGATTCAGAGCCACTCACGCCAGAAAGCTGGCACCGACTCCCCTTCTGTCCTTCTTGAGCGGCGAGAATGACTTCTTGCCGAAAGCACCAGCGTTTCGCACCATGCTAAGGTGAGTCTTGCCGAGAGCTCTGCCGGCACCCATGCCAACCTTGCCAGGCCGCTTAGTAGCAGCGGGAGGCACTTCGCCATCGTCATCATCAAAGAGCGTTGCTGATTCACCGCCCAGCCTGCGCTTCTTCTTCTTGACTTCTTGTTCGCCCTTGCCAGCAGCTACAACCTTCTCAGGAGCCACGTTCTCTGGCTCGTCAGCATCAGGCTCCTCTAACACCTGCTCAAGAGGAGCATTTGATGTAGTATGAGGTTTGTTGACCGCAGATGAGACCCCTTGTACAGGCATGTTTGGTGACGTTTCTGTCAAGGCCTTCTTTGGTCGGCCACGAGGCTTCTTCGATTCACCATCGTTCTTGGATTTCGGCTTTGCTTTCGTCGTCTTGGTGAGAGCAGATTTATCCGCGGACTCCTCTTGCTCTTCAAGCTCCGGCGCATCCTCGATCTCCACATCGGCCCCAGCAGTGACCTCGACCTCTTGTGACTGAGATTGATGGGATAGAGGGATATAGCTGACATCAGCTTCCTCGTCCTCTTCGGCGACTGCATCGACATTGAGCGTCTTCGACTTGGCCAGGAAAGGAGTGATGGAGAACAGCGATTTCTCGCCTAACATCGTCTGCTCAAGGCCCTTCTTCTTAGCAGGACGCCTGCCGCGAGTGATGTCTTCTGGCGTGCCAAGGCTCATGTCGTTCATGCTGACCTCTTCAACTCTTCGCTTCTTGCCGGCCTGCGTCTTCACGCCTCCCGCACGCGCAGGAAGCTGTGCACTCGGTATAGCTGCCGGTCGAGCAACCAACTCCGCACGCACGGCCTTCAACTCTTCCTGGGCGTTGCGCAACTTGGACTTGACCGTGTCTAGGCGCTGTTCGAGCATCTCGTTCTGTGTTTGGGCCTCGGATAGAGCCATATCATGCTCCTTCCGTAGCTTTTCTCGCTCCCGCCTCTCGACAGAAAGCATTTTCTCCATCTCTTGCATCTTTTGAGTCGACTCCCGCTCCGCCTTCTTGTTCGCCTGTCCGGCCTTTGCGGCTGAGACAGCAGTCTCAAGCTCTTCCTGCAATTGTTCCTTCTCACGCCTTTCCGTTGTCAGCTTCTTCTCGGCGTCCTTGAGTCTATGCCGCAATTCGTCTTCGGCTGATTTGTCGCCCTCCGCTTGTGCCGTCTGCTGTTCTCGTGCTCGTTTCTCGGCAGCCAACTCTACTTCAGCCATATTCAGCTGACGCTCTAATTCCAGTTTCTCGGCGATGACATTTTGCTGGTGGGCGACTTGTGACCGTAGGTGCTCCAGTTCAGGCTTCATGGCGTTTACCTCCCGAGAGAGAGCAAGCTTCTCTGCTAGCACTTTCGTAGAATCTTGAGACAGGCTATTGAGAGATTCGATTTCGGCCTGGCATATTCGAAGTTAGGATAGTTCGTCGGGCGCTGCCGAATCGGCGTTCACACCAACCTTGATGTGACCAAATTCTCTCTTCTGAGCCTTGAGCTGCGTGTCTTGGTCGCGATTTGTCGCCTGTAGTGATTCGAGGTCACTGCGCGTTTGGTCGAACTTGTCGGACAACTGGTTAATTTGCGCTTCCCTTTCGGCAAGCTGCTCGCGTAATGTCGCGTTCTCGTCGAGAAGGACTTGTTTGGTGACCTTCTGTCTTCGCGTGTCTTCCTCTTTGACAATGAGCTGTGCTTTGTGGATGTGTTGCTGGTGTTTCATCTCGAGCTCATGAGCCGCGGCGGCCCTCTGTACGAGTGATTAGAAAGAGGCCCTACTATGCTAATCGAATACTAGACTTACCTCTTCCGAGTCCATGTTCCTAGTTTTGCAAGGCATAATGGCGGTGTTTGTGCAGTTGCTTCTGCGCTGGAAGCGCGTCGACGTGTTGATTTAGGAGGCCCCGAAAGAGGTGGTTTGTAGCTGGAAGCCAAGATGCCGTGGTTCCCAAGTCTTTCTTGACCAGATTGCGCGACAGTATGGATGCCCGCGCGTAAAACGATTGAGGTTCGCGATGTCGATGTTGAAATGGTGGTAGGTGTGTTTGGGTTGACTCTGAGATGGAGTACCAATTGGCAAGGTAAACATGGTTCCCAAACTGGTTAGTCCCATCAACGCTGTGCCCCCCGCTCCAGGCTGGTTGTCTCCATAATTCTGAACTGCTTTGATGTCTCGGTAAGCGGTTCAGGGGTTACGTGACAGCAAAAGTACCTAAGGGAGAGTCTAGGGCACCCGACGTTCTCCCGCACGGGGAAACCCAACATCCGCTTCCGATTGAGCTACCCCTTCCCTACGGCACCTTCCTTACTAAAGTAAGCCAAGATTGGAACGGTACGTACACGCGCTTGCGACTTGACCCACTTCTCTGTGGATTGTCTGTCGCTGTTGAGAGCTGTCAAGTTCGAGCTGTTGAAGTCCAGTGTGCGGTATCTCGACGACACTTGCGGCGCGCACCAATTCGTTACGCAAGCCCGACTTCAATTTCACCCGAAACGGCCAATTGGCCACACAATCAACTCTTCGATCGTCCCCCGAGCTCTTGTTGCGCCCGTTTCACCGACGCATCCCTCAAAATGCACTTCCTTCGCTCCCTCGTAGCGGGAACCTTTCTCGCTGCCGGTGTCTTTGCAGCCAAGAAGACCCCCGAAGAGCGGTTCAACGACTTCCACGCAAAGGCTCTCACCTCGTCCCCGATCAAGCTTGCCGATACTAGCTACAAGTCTTTGACTTCTGCTCCCCGCGATTACACCGTTGCCGTTCTCCTGACAGCTCTCGAGAACCGATTCGGCTGCCAGCTGTGCCGGGAGTTCCAGCCGGAATGGGATCTTCTGGGTAAGACCTGGACCAAGGGCGACAAGAAGGGCGACTCGCGCCTTCTCTTCGGTACTCTCGATTTCTCTGATGGCCGTGAGGTCTTCATGTCGGTAGGCAAACCCAGGTTCAAAACAGGTGACACCAGACTTGGCCAAGAACTAACACGACCACTACCAGCTCGGCCTCCAAACCGCACCCGTCCTGCTCCTGTTCCAGCCCACCATCGGCCCTCACGCTGTTGCTGCCGCCGATCCTCTGCAATATGACTTTACCAGCGGGTGAGTACCTGGTCGGGAACTGAATGCTCAACAGCATAATCTAACAATTAAACAGACCTCAGTCTGCTGAGCAGGTCCATGCCTGGCTGTCGAGACACCTTACTAACCGACCCCACCCTCCGGTGAAGCGCCCGATCAACTGGATGCGATGGATTTCTAGCATCACCATCGTCCTTGGTCTCGGCACTGTCCTCGTCACTGCCTCGCCTTACATCCTGCCTGTCATTCAGAATCGCAACTTGTGGGCCGCCATCAGTCTTATTGCTATTCTGCTATTCACCAGTGGCCACATGTTCAACCATATTCGCAAGGTTCCCTACGTGGCTGGAGATGGCCGGGGTGGTATCAGCTACTTTGCCGGTGGTTTCCAGAATCAGTTCGGTCTGGAGACCCAGATCGTTGCCGCTATCTGTTTGTTTATCCCTCTCCACATCAAGTCCAAATGCTAATTAAAAGTAGACGGTGTCTTGGCTTTCTGTGCCATCTCTCTCACCGTCAAGGTGCCCCGCATCGGCGACAACAAGAGACAGCAAGTTGCTGTTCTGGCTTGGGGTGGTGTCCTGTTCATTATGTACAGCTTCCTTCTCAGCGTCTTCCGCATCAAGAACGGTGGCTACCCCTTCTCCCTGCCTCCTTTCATGTAAGGATGCTTTTTGACAAGCCGGCACTATCGGAAGCAACCTACTGCGCTGGCAACTTCTCGTCTGGCCCCGAGTTGTTCGCTAGGATAGCCATACCTTGCCAATGGCCAAGAGGCCCAGTGTCACCATCGACACAAATGTAACATAGCGAAGAGAGGGTCATCAGAAGCTCATAGAGAGGGTGATCGGACGTGGCAAAAAGACATTCCACGAAATGAACTACAAAAGCATTGTAACACATTTTGCCGCCCCTTTCGGTGTTCGGCACTGATATTCCAGTGAGCGAGACACAGGAAACATGGCTTGAGCCTGGTGTGCAAGTCCTTCAGTATGAAGGTGCTATGGCTCTAAGCGGATTTTTGTCTTAATGAAATGACAAATCGTCTTTGTCTTTGCATAGAACCTGAATGATATGTCCTTGTCTGCCAGCTTCTTCCAGGCCCCCTTATAGAAGTTAGCCTTGTGTCTTTTGTTTCCCTTTCGGATGCTGCCTCAAGATGAAATAGTCTCGGCCTGACATTGAAAGCCAAACCAGAATCTCCCACTCTCAGAGTGAACAACAGATAGACCAACTGATTTAACCGTCGATTCTTCAAAATGGCCCTTATTTCAGCGTGTTTAAGCTTTTATGTAAACCGACTCGGAAGCGTCGAAAAATCCTAGGCAAGGTTCATGGTCCTGAGAACCATGGCTTTCCTTCGGTCAGGCGACCTTTTGACAGATCGATGAGTCTCAGGGCCTTTGACTTTGGCAATGCTGACGGTTATCTCCTTCCTAATGAGGTCGAGCCCGGGGCGGCATGACAGCATTTTAATCTCAATAAATTGTCGCACCATCCGGACTTTGTAGGTGAATAAAGGAAGTTCCATCCGGCGGCATCTGACCAATTTACGGTTGGATTAGCCAAGCCATGAAGTCAGGATCGGAGTTTTTAGCCGGCCAAGGAGAAATCAAGCACTTAGCACCAGGATCGTCCCCCCGCTGATCTGGGGTTATTGCCGGCTAAAGTGATGACTGCCACCCTAGCTCGTCACACTTTATTTTGTCTTCGGGAACTCTGGAGAGACGAGCCACTTGACCTAGGAGCGGTCATTGGCTAAGCCGTCTGCTTATGCTGTAATGCCACTATGCTCCGGAGACTCTAGAATACCTTGGACCATCAAACTCCCTGTCCTGCGTTGTTCTCCTCATGGCAGCAGCGACTTTTTGAATAACTTTGCATTCTTTCTGCTCACGCTCCTATCCAAGAGTCTGCGGGTCTGTTGTACAACGCGAACTTACCAGCAAGAGAGCAATTGGTGAAGACAATCACGAAAGGCAAGTGAAGTGATGGGTATCTCGGAACATCGAAGTTCTCCGTCTTTCATCCTCGCCATTATAACACTTAGTCCGTGCCTATTGGGGAACCGACTGTCTCCGGTTTGGACGGGCCGTCCTGGAGAGAACCTATCGATTCGTATAGCACTATTATTCGCCCACAGTTGGTGTCATTACGAAGAACTGGAGATCTGCCCTCGAATGGTCGAAACGGAGGTTGGTTTGACGAGGTAACATTATCCAATATTGCAAATACCACAATGTTCTGAGTGCTCTAACCACCGGCCACTCTAATGCTGGACTTGCAGGCCAATCATTATTTGACCATTAGATGAAGCCATCAATCTGCGGTGGACATCACATTGAGAACCCTTGATCGTGTTAGTAGGTGGTCACCGCGTAGTATAGACACTCTTTGACTGCGGGCATGAGATTGTTCATCATCTTGCCCATTCAAATCGCTCCTTTGGATAGGTATGCTTGGTTCGGAGCCTTGAGACCGAGATGAATACAGCCACCGGGCCTGGTGCCTGATTGACGTTACTCGGAGGTTACAGTAGGAACAAAACGCAAGACTTGGACATTGCTCATATTTTGGGGTATCAGTATTGTAGATAAATAGTGTCATGTCTCCCAATATATTACCCATAGCTCTTATCCTCAGGAAATCAACATCACTTCTACAGAGCTCCCCATCTCAAGATACTTATTCATCAAGATGAAGTTCACCGCCGCTACCTTGGCGGCCTTGGCCTCGACAGCGATTGCTGCCCCTTCCCAGACGATCAAGGAACAACCTCGACAAGCCGCCTCTGCCTGCTCCGCCAACGTCTCCCTAGATGCAAAGACCAATGTCTTCTCCAAGTACACCTTACATCCCAACAGCTTCTACCGTGCCGAGATTCAAGCTGCCGCCGCAGCAATCTCGGACAGTACGCTCAAGGCCAAAGCCCTGAAGGTCGCTGACGTCGGCTCCTTCCTCTGGCTGTATGTCGAACTTTAGCATCCACAACTCTTCTTCGAGCAACAGGGATACTGATGCCGCAGAAATACAGTGACACCATTGCCAACATCCAACGTCTCACACCCGCCATCGCCGACGTTCCCTGCAACCACATCCTCGGCCTGGTCATCTACGACCTCCCCGGTCGCGACTGTGCCGCCAAGGCCTCCAACGGCGAGCTCAAAGTCGGCGAGCTGAGCCGCTACAAGACGGAGTACATTGACCCCATTGTCAAGATCCTCAAGGCGAACCCCAAGACCGCTTTCGCTCTCGTCATCGAGCCGGACTCCTTGCCCAACTTGGTCACCAACGCCAACCTCGCGACTTGCCAGGCGTCGGCCTCGGGCTACCGTGATGGTGTTGCGTACGCCATCCAGGCTCTTAACCTTCCCAACGTTGTCATGTATCTCGATGCTGGCCACGGAGGTTGGCTTGGGGTAAGTTTTTGATCATCACCGTGATCCGTGGGACATGTTCTTGTTCTACCTTGCTTGCTTGTCATGGTCATGTTGTTGACTTGTCTATAGTGGAACGACAACCTCAAGCCCGGTGCCGAAGAGCTCGCCAAGGCGTACAAGGCCGGCGGCAGCCCCTCGCAGCTTCGAGGCATCGCCACCAACGTTGCGGGATGGAACTCTTGGTAAGTCTAGCTCATACCCCTGCACATCGAGGAGTAGCAGCAACAACTACAGAGACATTTCACTGACAATATGTACTCACAGGGACGCCGAGCCCGGCGAATTCGCAAACGCCCCAGACGGCCAGTACAACAAGGCCCAAAACGAGAAGAAGTACGTCACCCTCCTCGGCGCCGCCCTCCAGACGGCCGGCATGCCCAACCACGCCATCGTCGACACGGGCCGCAACGGCGTCCAGGGCCTCCGTCTCGAGTGGGGTGACTGGTGCAACGTCAACGGCGCCGGCTTCGGTCTCCGCCCCAGCGGCAGCACCGGCCTCGAGCTCGCCGACGCCTTTGTCTGGGTCAAGCCCGGCGGCGAGTCCGACGGCACCAGCGACTCGAGCGCCACGCGCTATGACTCGTTCTGCGGCAAGTCGGACGCCTACAAGCCGTCTCCCGAGGCTGGTACGTGGAATCAGGCTTACTTTGAGATGTTGCTCAAGAACGCCAAGCCTGCTTTCTAGACAGGGAAGGGGAAGGTTTTACTACTCTTACCATGTTGGGCCACAGCGAGTGAACTCAATCATGGGGAAAAGGGGCTGCCTCTGGAGAAATTTCTATTCCACACATGACCAAGCTACAATCTCTTAGTATTTATATACAACGTCAAATCTTCATATATCTATGGCATCAGGCCCTACTCTATGTGATGAAGTGGGAGCACAGGATTTTGTGAAAACGTATTGATCAAAGTGTATGTGTGGACGAGATTTGACCGTAACGTCTCACGCTACGAAGCGCAATCTGCGTCTTATGATAGCGCTTGACTAATGTCGCCTACAACATGGGGAGCAGCAGTTGCTATTATCCTAAGTCTGCAAACATCGTGTTGTAGCATTGGCTTTCACAGTCATCACTCAAGGCATGGTTGGTACGGTTGTGTGCTGACCAAGTCAACATCACGAGTTGAATGAACGAGAAACAGGATTTTTTTGAGTTTGCCAGGATCTTTTGATTTGGGCGTTACGGGTTCATGTCCGAGTCCTTTCGTGGGCTACCTATAAGCCAGCCATGCAGTCTCATCCCCAATTTTTCACAAATCGTCTTGACCCTGCGCATCCCGAAAGACATAACGAGGAAGCCAGCCTAGGACGCCCGCCATGATCTACCAAGAGAGCCCTTTCCCCACCACACTTCGTCACCATCATCGCATAACCCAGAGAGAGAGAGAACAGAAGAGAGCTTCACGCCCGTTTATGCTCTCGACATGACACCCCAGGCACGGATGATGTTGTCGGTGTAACCGGCGAACAGGGTCTGGCCATCGGCGGACCAGGCCAAGCTCACGCACTCAGGCTCGCGGCTCTTCTTGCCGACAGCGGTGAACTCAGGCTTGAGCTCATCAACCTTGCTCTTCTTCTCAAGGTCGAAGATGATGATGCTGCTGGCGGTAGCAGCGCAGAGCCAGTAGCGGTTGGGGGAGAAGACAAGGGCGTGGATCTCGTCGTTGGCGTTCAGGGAGTAGAGGTGCTTGGACTCGTTAAGGTCCCAGAGCATGGTGGTACCGTCCTTGCCACCGGAGGCGCAGAGGGATCCATCGGGGGAGATGGTGACGGTGTTGATGTAGCCGGTGTGGCCAATGTGGTCAGTCTGCAGCTTGCAGGTGCTGAGCTCCCAGACCTAAAAATTTGCCGGTGTTAGCCATACTGATGCGTACGGAATTTTTCAAAAGGCAAAAATTAAAATCGGAGGTGCGAGATCAGGGCAAATGGTGAATAGTGGTCTCATGGCCTGCACGGCAGGCTCTGAAGTAGCAAATACTTTGGTTGCAAACATCATGTCGAATCGAATGGTTGGGACGATTTCTCCAGAAAAGCAGATACGGGGGGGGGGGGGGGTGCTGAAAACTGACCTTGACGAGCTTGTCCCAGCCGGAGGAGACAATGACGGGGTTCTGGGGGTTGGGGCTGAAGCGGACGCAGGAAACCCACTCGGAGTGACCCTTCTCGGAGATGGTGTACTTGCAGTCACCGAGGGTGTTCCAGAGCTTGATGGTGCGGTCGCGGGAGCCGGAAACGATTTGTCTGTTGTCGGCGGAGAAGGAGACGGACAGAACGTCGTTGGTGTGGCCGACGAAGCGGCGGGTGGTGGTGCCGGTGGCAAGCTCCCAAAGGCGGAGAGTCTTGTCCCAAGAGGCAGACAGGGCGTAGGCGCCGTCCGAGGAGATAACCTGTTTTCCTTCCCATCAGCCCAGAGTTCCCAGTAATCCTAGCTCAGCAATAGAGGGCGGAGGAAATTTTTCGTAAAATTCGGAGGGGTTCGAGAGACGTACGCAGTCGGAGACGATGTGGGAGTGGCCCTTGAGGGAGCGCTTGGGGTAACCGTACTGGGACTCGTCACGGGTGAGGTTCCAGATGATCAGAGTCTTGTCACGGGAAGCGGACAGGAGCATGTTGGGGCTGGCGAAATGTTAGCGATCTTTGTCCTTCGAGATTCTTGGCCTCCTCCTCCCCCCGCCGGCACCACTGTGCAGGGCTTCCGAGTCGTTGCCCATTTCGAAGAATCCCGTCCTTCTCTCGAAAATCAACGTCGGCGGCAGCGGTAGCCAGGTAGGGAGGATCGGAGGTGAAGAGAAATGTAGGAATAGTCGTACTTCTCCATGGAGGTAGCCAGGCTGGTGACCCAGCCATTCTGCAAAAAGCATCGCCGTCAGCCTCAAGCACAAAGCAAAAATGACCGGCGCAACGCAGCGGCGTGCGGGCAAGTAAGACGGCAGCAACTTACGTGGCCCTCGAGGGTACCCTTGAGAATCAACTGCTCAGCCATTGGGAAATGAGGCAATCAGGTCGATTGAGTGGTGAGGGAAAGGTAGAAAGATTGGAGTTGATTCTGAGCGTCACACCTTTGACCCTTGGGGAGCTTGAGCTGAGATTCTGGATTTTGGGTGTGGGTGAAAAAAATTAGCAAACTTCGCTTAGGGCCTGGCAGGTGGAAAGAGCGCCAGCCTTGCTCCTGCTGCGTTGGGTGTGGGCCACCGAGGTGGGGCTGAGGCCAATGGGGGCCGTTCGTGGCTGCGCTTCCTCTGGACTGCTCGCACGAGGCTGATTGGCCCCATATCAGAACAGTACATTGGTACTTGCGCGTGCTGAGGTGCTGTGGTAGGTAGTAGGAATGAAGGCCAGGTCCAACACTCCGTATTCCGGGTCCCTTATGGGAAGTTCAGTTCTGCATGTCACTCGCTGCAGGGGCTCGCAGAATGCCACCTACTTACCTTAGGCCGTCAACGTAACAAGACCATGACTGAAGTCTCTCCCACAGATGGGGTCTCCATGAGCCCAAACTTCACTCTTGCATTTCGAATCAAACGCCCACGCTGCGCACTCAGACCTCTCAAAGCAGCTGTGGTCTCCTGAATCTCTCAACTTGGATCACAAGATAGGCTGGGATGCGGGAAGCTACTGTTGAATGCTCTAGTATTGTCGAAAAGGCTGAGAGTAATCTTGAGGAATCGCTTGCGGCCTACGCAGAGTCTCTCACGCCTTTGCCTCTGTCTTTGCGGTCGCTTTAAAATGTTCAAACCTAGTAGTCGTGTGGTCCTCCTGCCTCAGTGGCCTCATTCACAACCTAGAAGTGAGGGGGTTTGTTGTGACCCGTCCATACGATGAAGTACCCAAACGCCTTGCTGAATGCATGCCCCTTTCCCAAAACGATCAATTTCTGTGTCTGCCTTGACTGGCACCCGACACACTCGCCTCTGCAACCCAACCCCGTCAGTTCTGATCATTGCCCATCATTTTTGATTACGGGCCCGTCCTCTGAAGCACCGGACTCGCGCTTTCGGCCTCTACCGAGAGAGTATGACTAGCTTTGCCCGGCGGTTCGTTTGCTCTGTCGCTGTACTTCCCTACGCAAATGCCGGGCGTCCGAGTTGACAATCATGCTATGATCGGCAATTTCGAGTTGTTGGCCGGTTGTGCCGCCTTCCTTTTTGACGAAACCTTCCATAGCGGCTGCCCATAGGGAATAGCGTTCCTTGGTCATAGGATCGCGCTCCGACAGAGATCTGATTTCCTTCTGCTTTCGGACCTTTGCCGCCCTCACCAGGCCTCGTAGGGCCTCCTCGCCTTGCTTCGAAGCCTTGGCCGCCTCTTCCCTCGTCTTCTGGGGGTCTCGACCGTTGTCATCTTCTTTGGGTGTGTATTTGTAGGTATGTTTGCTGGGAAAGTCGGGGAAGGATTTTGGTATGTACGGCTTGGCTTCCTTCTCGGGCTTGCCGCTCAGCTCTTCGCCAAGGAGAGGTAAGGTTGTGTACGCATCTGGATCATCGACCAACGGATTGAAGTATTCCACGTCTAGCTTCGCCTTTGGTATGGGATGACGAACGTGGGGCCGCATCGCCTTCGTCTTCAGAGTGTAGCGTCGCATCATAGACTCGAAGTCGGCCGGAGTCGGCTGCTCCCGTCGTGCAGCAAGGGCGAGACGTTTGGAATCAGCGATCATAGAGGCCATATCTGGACGTAGAGTCAGCGCCTACGAGCATCAGTATTCACAAGACCTTTGGTCATCTCACAGGTCTCTACGGCCCCCAAGAAGCCCTGCATCGCTTCCGGGGTAGCGGAGTCAAATCCAACTTGCTGCAGTGCCAGTCCTATACTTCTTTCGAGACCACTTTTTGCTTGGTAATCCAGAGAAGGAATGCTGACTTTGGTCGCGCCTGGCAGGCTTGGCTCTTCATCGTCTGTGGAAGGAGGGCTTTGAGGCGCGTCGCTGTTCGTCTTTTGCCGTTTGATGCTTGGTTTCTCTTCTTCGCTAGACGAGCTCCGCTTGATCGGAGTCGTTGCCGCGGAAGGTGAAGACATGGCCGACGTCGAACAGAGCTCGATGGAGGTGTGGTGTGGCGATGTTGCAATGCACGCGCGGATGTCAAGGACAGGAGAAGTTTCGGGCGCGTCTATAGATTCGGGCAGAGAAAAGCGCGACGACAAAGATTATGGCGCGCTCTCGTATTGTTGTATCCGGGCCTGGGGTAGAGGAAGGCGCGCTGTCGGTGGAAGGAGGTTGTTCGAGGTCCAAGATTCGAGAATGTTTGCGCCTCGGACGGGAGGTGCCAATGGAGCTACCTTGCGCGCATGGGTACGTACCGACAATTGAGGAAAAAATGGGATTTGGGATGCGGCTCTTTTTCTGGGGGGCTCGGCAGTTGCCCCGCGGCTCACCATCCACTGGAATCAGACTTGAATCCACCCTTCAGCGCCTGAAGAGGCTCTGCACCAATCGTACTTCTTATTGGAATAGGTTCCCTGAAGAAACAACATGGATGGGGATGGAATACCTCACTTGCTTCGAAGCCATCTATCTCTCTTTGAAGCCCAACAGTGGTGTTATCCCGTGTCGAGTACTTACGTACGACCTGGTCTCGCAAGGCACAGCATTATTGAGCTAACTACCCTAGTGGCCTGACTGCTGCTTTACTTGTAATTGAGGTGTGGTCTTTGAACATTGCTGTCGTTTACTCTATGCACTCTCATCACTGTCCTAAAGACGGACTGCCTTATTCGTTCAAAGTTTTACCGAGTCACGGATGAAACTGGACGTATAGCAAGCTGCTCTTTATTTGTTCTTAAGCCAACGGGCGCCTATGTACAGTAAGAGAACGTTTGTACTTTGTATCCATATCTTGCTCACCCTACCCAGTCTATGTAATTAATGCAGGGAGACCCATCTCAGCCAGCCTGTGCTCGCTATCTTATCTGAGTCAAGCGCCTCAATTCACCCCTTTCATACTTAACCAACAATAGACTTCCTCATACTATCTACTAGCGTTCATTTACCTCCAGTTCAAAAGGCAATTCTTATCGCTTTCTTTTGTTAACATTGTTGTCTTTGCTTTCCCAACCCTTTTCAGCCTGGGCAGGGCGTAACTTCAACTTTGCGCCTGGCACTCCAGGAACTCCAAACAATATCGCTCACTCACTGACCGGCGAATACAACAATGCAGAACATTGAAACCCTCCGTAATGGAGGCTATCGCGGCCAAGGTCTGCAAAAGCTAAAAATCACCGGCACTTTGGACCAATTCCCCTCAGAAATCTTGGACTTAGCCGAAACCCTCGAACATTTGGACCTCTCCGGGACTGGCATTTCTGTCCTCCCCGATGACTTTGGCCGGCTGCGCAAGCTCAAGGTGGCCTTCTTTTCCGACTGCCGGTTTGCCATATTTCCCAAGCAGCTGTCAGAGTGTCCCGAACTCGATATGGTGGCCTTCCGCTCCAACGGCATGACCGCCATCCCAGAAGATTCCTTGCCACCTAAGCTATGTTGGCTCATTCTTACAAACAACCGCATCGAGGCACTGCCTCAGAGCATCGGCCGTTGCTCCCGACTCCAGAAGTGCATGCTTGCCGGCAACAGTCTCACGAGCCTCCCGGATGAGATGGTGGCCTGCAGCAAACTTGGCCTGCTTCGTCTGTCCGCCAACAACTTTCCCGACTTGCCAAAGTGGCTTTTCGAACTCCCCGAACTCGCCTTTCTATCAGTTGCTGGCAACCCCTGTTGCTCTGTCAGTCTCGAGGAAGAGCTCGCTCTGCTACGCAAGGTCAACTGGGATGATGTTGAGATGAGGGAGTTGCTGGGCCACGGAGCCTCTGGCGACATCTTCAAGGCGCGGTGGATGCTCGCTGACTCGGTGGTAGAGGAGGTGGCCGTGAAGCTGTTCAAAGGGGAGGTGACAAGCGATGGGACACCTCTGGATGAAATGGGCGCCTGTTTGGCAGCAGGATCTCACGATAACCTCATCAGCACGTTGGCCAGCATCCAGGGCCATCCAGAGAAGCACGGTCTCATCATGCAGCTCATTCCACCTCACTACCAGAGCCTAGGCCTGCCGCCTTCCTTGGAGACTTGCACTCGAGACCGGTACGAGCCAAGCAAGAAGTTGTCAGTCAAAGTTGTCCTTGAGCTCTTGAGTGGCGTTGCTGCAGCTGCTCTTCATCTTCACAGCCGAAAGGTTTCTCACTGCGATCTCTATGCGCACAACATTCTCTTCAACGACGATGGGCACGCTCTGCTGGGCGACTTTGGGGCAGCGACAATCTACGAGCACCTCGGTAGATTTAACTTTGAGAAGCTGGAGGTACTTGCATTCGCTCACCTTATTGATGACATGCTCGGGGTTGTTCGCGTCGAGGATAGTGATGGCAGACAGCAGACTCTGCAAAGCTTGCGGGAGTTGCACACTCGCTGTTCCAGCTCAGTTGTCTCTGAGAGGCCTACCTTTGCCAACGTGGCCGATTCTCTCGGAGCCTTGCTTTGAAACTCAATAGCCCCAAAAGGCGATTTCTGCTGTCCTGGCCTTCAGGTCTCATGCGCTAAGATATACGAGCCAGGTTTAAGAGAGGTTTCTGGAACTTCAAGAGAAAGTCAATAAACGGAGTCTCTATAACGAATAGACGCGAGATAGACAACGGGAATGAGACATGGAGCTACTTATAGAATTAGATACAACCTAGACTTAGACGCATTTGGAAAGCAAGTAACACAACTTTATGAGCGACAGTCTTGACTTTATTGTGTCTTCTTGAAGAAGTGAGAGTACAAATGGATGCATGTGATCCACATTCGCCGCTTGAAAGATTTTTGTAACTACTGCAGTTGCTTACAGGCTGTCGAGCTTTGCTGCAAACCTGGAAGCTTATCACTGCTATATAGTACAGGGCGGCGGCAGGAGTAGAGGAAGAGTTCGCCCTCGTATTGTTAAAATGTGTTCAGCAACGAGGAAGGCTCAAGTAGGTCAGGCTGCTTATGAACGGTTGAAGCTTCTACCCTTCCTCATTCAACTTCCAGGATGACAATTACTAGGTAGTAGGTACGTCAACCTCTCATATTCTAGCTGGTCCTCCACCTCGAAGTGAGCAGATCCAGGGTCCCACCTGTTCTAGCCCTACCTGACCCCTCCCGCCTACGGCTCCCTCCGCTATTCGTAGGCCGCTAGCTCCCCGCTGGACCCACCTCCAAATCGGACGAGAGCCGATTCGAGCAGGCACGGATTGCCCTGCGCTTCAACCCTCAATTGCCCGATTGCGGTCTCGCCCAATTCTGAAAGACTCACTTGAGAGCTCATCCATATTTCGAGTGCGAGACTCCCTACATATACATACACCGCCGACGACCCAACATAACTTTACGACGACTAATCAGATAGCTCTCAGCCTCCTCCCCTTTCTCGCTTGCTGGTCCTACCATATCCTCACTTCCCTCATCGTACGGCCCATATCCTATGCACCACAAGGCAGTGAACTGATGAGGACTGCAGCATTTTGCGTACTGGCAACGGCGGCATCTTGATTGCATCTCACATCTTGGTTTCCCAATATTGATTATGCTGCTGGGATAACGTGTTACACTTCAACCAACGCCAATCAGCATATTCGATAGCAGGAAAGAAGAGGAGGCATTGGTCACAACGTCGCCTTCAACATCACACTCATCACTCGGTCTCCGTCACAAGTCTGGCTCCGCCATAACCTCCGCCAAGATGTTTCCTTTCGATGCGACCGCCATGCCCACGCTACCAACGCGCAAGGGTCTGCTGGTGGTCGACTTCAATAACGATTTCCTGTCTGCCGACGGCGCCCTACAGGTCACAAACGGTAGCGAGCTGGTCACACGCACTCTGGAGCTGGTCAAGGCCTTTCGCAAAGTTGGCGACGTTATCTGGGTGCGCAGCGAATTCGAACAGTATTGCCTTGCCTCGGCAGAACAAATTTGGGCTACCGACAAAATCCCAAAGCTCAAGATTCTCGAGTCTCGCGCCAGAAGAAAGATTGCATCTAAGAAAGAGCCCGAAGAGAATTTTGATGCCGACCCGGAGGCTTTCCTCAGCCAGCCCGGCCCCAAAGTCGTCCGTTCTGGCACTCCTGGTGCCGATTACCCCGTCGCCGTCAAGGAAGCCATCGGCAAAAGGGATATCAACTTGACCAAGTCACATTACTCAGTCTTTTCCTCCGGCCAGCTGCTGCAAATGATGCGCGTCAAGTTCATCCATGAGCTTTACATTTGCGGATCCCTTGCCAACATTGGCGTCCACGCCTCAGCTATGGACGCCGCCACGTTCGGTTACTCCATTACTTTGGTCGAGGACTGTTGTGGGTTCCGCTCCGAAGTGCGTCATTCCGCTTCCGTAGGGAAGCTTGTCGATGTGACGGGCTGCGAGGTATTGGAGAGCGATACTGTCATTAAGAGACTGCAGCCGAAATCTGAGTCAAAGCCTGCCTCATCATCACCCGTCGTACCCAAGAGAATCGCGGAAGCCAATGGTGGCCAAACGCCGCCCTCGGCTGATTCGTATAAGAGCAAACTCGAAGAGCAATTGGCCAAGCTTTCAATCAACAGTTCGAACTCCTCAAAAAGCGAGCCTTCCATATCACGCCCACGCCAAGAATTGGGAGGTTCAGGCTGTGCAACCGCTTCTGATATTTTGGAAGTTGATGACAATGCGGGCGCAGTACAGACAGACCAGGGCGATGAGTCACCCGACAAAGAGATTCACAAACGACCAAAGAGACCAACGGCAGGCAAGGGGAGTCTTGAGATAGACATCGACACAGATTCGGTGTCGGAGAAAATACCTTTAAAAAAGCAGCAACTTACCAAGACAGTCGCCGACGAGAAAGCATCCTCCGCGTCCGACATCGAACTCGAGCCAGACTCGAGCCCAGAGTTAAAGCCAGGGCCAGCCAAAAAGTCCGCTGCTATGGACGACACCATCGAGGTCGATGACTCACCGCACGCTACCGAACCTCTTTGTGAAGGTGACACCACCGTCATTAATAACATACTTCCTTCTGCCTTGGTCGAGGGCATCTTCGAGAAGGTCAGAGACGAGGTCTCATGGCAGAGAATGTCCCACCAGGGCGGAGAGGTCCCTCGACTGGTCGCTGTCCAAGGCGAAGTAGCCGACGACGGCAGCATACCAGTATATCGACATCCATCCGACGAATCGCCCCCTCTCTTCCCCTTCACCCCTACAGTACAGAAAATCAAGGCAGAGGTCGAAAAGGAGCTCGGACACCCGCTGAATCACGTCTTGATCCAGCTCTACCGCAGCGGCACCGACTACATCTCTGAGCACAGTGACAAGACCCTGGATATCGTCAAGGGGTCGTACATCGCCAACGTCAGCTTGGGTGCGGAGCGCACGATGGTGTTTAGGACTAAGAGGCAGGACAAGGACCCGTCCAGCACCGCGATACCGTCAGGCGAGACCTCTCTGCAGCGACAGGTTTGCCGCGCTAAGCTGCCGCATAACTCACTCTGCCGTCTAGGCCTGGTGACGAATGGTCGATGGCTGCACGCCATCCGCCAGGACAAGAGAATGGACCGAGATAAGACGCCTCCCGAATTGGCTTTCGACGGGGGACGTATCTCCCTCACTTTCAGACAGATTGGCACCTTCTTAGATGGAGATAGCACCCTTATTTGGGGTCAAGGGGCCACCAGCAAGACCAGAGAGATGGCTCAGCCCGTCATCAATGGTCAGTGCCCACAGGCAGTCGCCATGGTCCACGCCTTTGGTACGGAGAACCACTCATCCGACTTTGACTGGGACAAGTACTACGGCAAGGGCTTCGACGTTCTCCACATGAGCACCTCGCCGCGTCTCTCCGCTTCGGCCGACCCCGTCGTCAACATGCGTATCACCCTGATGCTGGCCGAGTACGGCATTTCGTACGCCAAAGGGAGCATATCGCCCTCCTTCAATTGGAAAGACAGCAACGTCGGCGGCAAGAACACAGCGGCTGTTCCCGCATCACTGCCGATCCGTTTCGTCGACAATGACGTAGCCAAGTCAACAGTTCAGGGTGAGCTAGCCATCATGCTCTACCTGTATTCAGTACATGGATCAGGAAAGGAGGGAGCGTCAGATAGACCGCAGCCCGATATCGCAAAAGCCTTCACCCGTTTCCAGGATGGCCTCGCGCTCCTGGACAAGTGGCGAGGGCTCGAGAAGGACAACGAATCAGGGAAGCGCGACCTCGCTCCCTTGAAGCGAGAGCTCGCCATTTGGGAGGGATACGCAGGCGAAGCCGACTTCATTGCAGGCTCGAGTATGTCGTTGGCCGATTTCGCCGTATGGCCAGTGTTGTACGTCATTTTCCAAGATGCCAACAAGGAAACACTGGAAGCGAACAAGAGGCTGAAGGCGTACTACGAGAGAATCAAGTCCACCAAGTCTGCCACAAAGGTCCTTGATGGAAACCAACCTGATACCACAGAGGCTGTATCGGTGGACCAAAAGACTGGAGGTGTGGCCGAGACATCGCCACCGAGTAAGAGTCTTTCAGGCAAGGAGTCACAGAAAGACTGAGCTACAAAGGCGGGAGCAGGGACATAGGGGGCGAAGCGTTTAGATAGCGGACCCCGCATGTCTTCATAACTTGGAATAGTTCAATGTAGACCTCTCAGCCATGCATTATACTTCTTTCCCTAAAGCCTTGACTTTCTTTGTCCAGAACGAATTTGTTAGCGTGGATATATAACTTCACTAACTGTCACAGTCATATGTGAATAAAACACGTATACAAGACCGTATTTGCCTACAGCTGCAATTTTCATTTCCACCATCTCGTTGAGGATGGTCGAGTTTTGTCAACGCTAGTTGGTCTGTAAGTTCCCCCAAAACGATGTATACGCAGTTTGGAGGACTGGGTAATCTCGTGGATATAGGACCCGTATTTGATGTGAAAATCAATAAGGCTGGAACAATGAGACTAAAATCGTTCTCGCAAAGCCCAACTCGTCAAAAATGCCCCCATAGAACGCCGTAAAGGAAGAAGAGATCCCATGCCCAGTGCCCTTTTCAAGAACAAGTTTCCGCGACCTGTAAGCTCGTCGGAACTGGTCTCATCCCATCGCTTAAGAGGAGTGGACGTCCCACGGCAAGGGGTAAGTGCCCACCCAGTCGGCCACCTCTGACCTCAACTGAACAATCTCGGGATCGTTCTCACCATCACCGAGATGCTGCATGTAGTGTCTCAGCAGGCCGGGCTTCTTCTCTCCCTTCTCCTCGGCTGTCTTCTTGACGCTCTTGTTGACGCGAATGGCGATGGTGACGGCACGGTCAATAATGTCGGCCACGCGGCTGAAGTCCTCTTCGGAGAAAGCTCTCGTCGTCATGGCAGGCGTACCGATGCGCAACCCACCAGGCACAAGTGCTGACTTGTCACCTGGTACAGTGTTCTTGTTGGCAGCAACACCAACCAGCTCCAGCACACGTTCAACACGGCTGCCATCGATGCCCTGGGGCTTGAGATCCACAAGGATAAGGTGGTTGTCAGTGCCGCCAGAGACGATGCTGTAGCCCAAACCTCCCTTCTCCTTGGGAGCACCCAGTCGCTGGGACAGTGCCTTTGCGTTGGCCAGGACCTGAGACTGGTAGGCGCGGAATTCAGGGGCTTGGGCCTGCTTCAAGGCAACGGCCAAGGCGGTGATGGTGTGGTTGTGAGGACCTCCCTGGTGGCCGGGGAAGACGGAGGCGTTGATAGGACCCTCTAGGTTGTACATTTCGTCCTCCTTCTTAGCGTTTTGGCGACGCACTCCCTTACGGAAGAAGATCATGGCGCCACGAGGTCCTCTCAGACTCTTGTGACTTGTCGTAGTGACGATATCGGCGTAGTCGAACGGGCTGGGCATGACCTTGGCCGCGACCAGACCGGAGATGTGGGCCATATCGGCCACGAGGTAGGCGTTGGACTTATCACAGACCTCGCGGAATCGCTGGTAGTCGATCAAACGGCTGTACGCGCTAGCTCCTGCGACAATGATCTTGGGTCGGTAGAGCATAGCAAGCTCCTCCAACTTGGTGTAATCAATCTGCCCAGTGGCCTCATCCAATCTGTAGGGGACCGTCTCGAAGTACTTGGAAATGGCGGAGATCTTCTTAGTCGGTGTCTGGTAGCCGTGCGACAAGTGACCGCCGTGGGGTAGGTCAAGACCCATGAGGCGGTCATGGGTATCCATCAACGCCGAGTAAACGTACAAGTTGGCCGGCGCACCGGACAGAGCTGGACAAAGGTGTAAGCAAATAAGTAGGAAGCGGGATCCTGTACTGTCAAACAAACGCACCTTGGACATTGACACCCCATTGCTTGGGGTCGAGACCGAACGTATCGAGAGCACGCTGCTGGCAGAGACGCTCTGACTGGTCGATGAATTCGTTTCCGCCATAATATCTTGCGCCAGGGTAACCCTCAGAGTACTTGTCTTGGAGACATTCTTAGCTTCCGTCGTATTCTAAGCCAGTAAGGGACCTACTCTGCATCACACTGCCCAAGGCATCGAGGACAGCCTGGGAAGTGAAGTTCTCTGAGGGAATCAGGTTGATGAAGTGCTTCTGTCTGGTTTTCTCCTATGTATATGCAACCATGTCAGCGGGCATGCCCTATAGGAAGCATTTTCGGCGCACAAGCCTGCGTGCTGGGGAGCTATCGAAGGGTTGAGTGGGCGCGTACCTTTTCGATGATGTCGTAAACGGCGGGGTCGACCTGCTGAAGCTTGGCTGCTAGCAGCTGTTGCTTGTAGAGTTAGTCGAGAAACATTTCCAGGTGTATCAGGACGCAATTGGGATAGCGATGCGCACCTGTTGCTGGCCCTCCAAGCTCTTGGTCGAGATGAACCTCCTCACGCCACCTGCGCTGGGGACTGACGCCGCCCTCGGTAGGAAGCGGGAAGCACGAGCTGTGCCTCGAACTGCTGGAAGTGACATGACGCCGGCGTGACAAGGGAGCTGTTAATTGAGAAGATTAATGGCGTGTTCCAATAGTCGTTGGGAACCTTCTTGAAGACAGGAGGATATGTAGGATAATAAGTTGGAGGAAGAGACAGAGTAGGTGGCGGCTAAGGAAGGAAGGGGGACGACGTACCGGTGTATAAGGTAGGGACGGAGCTTACAACTACAAACCAATTGACACAGCTACAACAATGCCATGATGTAGTGGCGGCGGGCGTGCACAGGCATTGGGGGACCGCGGTACATAAGGACCTGGGGGATTGGGGTTTCGGGGGACGACTGCCGCAGCTTCAGGCGGAATGTGACCCGAGCAGAAGGCGGGAGACGAGGCAAAGCAAAGCGCCCGGTGTGGTGGCCGAGCTGCTCAGTGCTGTGTTGGTGGTTGGCGGTTGGAGCCGGGGTTCGGCTCAACTTCCGACCTCGCACTCGTCGTCCGTCGCGCACTGCGTTCCAACTTCCAACCACCTCATGGTACTCCGTACCGTCCTGCGCTCCGCGCTGCGCGCTTATCAGTGCTTATCGCATCGGCCCATCGTTGTGGGACAAGAAACCTAATACACCTAAGGCACTAATATCATTCAAGACTGTCACCCGTGGAAAGTTGAGAACGTTCGGCAACCAGCGCACGGACCCCTCGGTAGAGACCCGCCGCGCTTGCCCCAGCCCCACACTCTCTACCCTTTTTCAAGGCCGCGTTGTGAATTCGACTTTCTCCCTTTCTCTTCTTCTCTTCTTTACAACTAAATTGGAGATGACGAGCACGCTTATTGTCACATCAGCTCTTCCGCTTCGGCGGGTGCATGATGAAATGTTCTGGCGTCCTCACCACCTTTTTTCAGGACAATATGAAACAATCTGATCCAATCCATGTTGTGCTTCTTTATTTTATTTCTGTTTGGTTTTTTTCCCTCCGTCCTAACTCGACGTTCGACGCGACGGACACAGTTTGAGAAGTATTCTTCCATCCGTTCCGTCACTCCAGATAGAACAAATATTGTTTAAAGACGTGACTCGGAGCGCAATCGGGGACGGGATCCTTGCAAGTGCTACGGACCTTCCTGATCGATGAAGCCTCATGTTCGAACCACCTGCTGTGGAGAAGCCGTTCCATCATTCGCCACATGTGCTGAAGCAACGATGACAGACAGCTCACCAGTCCTTCGTGTGCTTTCCTGTGCTTTCCTGTGCTTCCGTCCTAGTCTAACTTTGTAGGCCAAAACCACACGGGGCTGCAAACAGACTGATATCACCTGACGGCCCGTCGATGGGAATTCTAAATAGCTGCAAGCACTACAACTGAAATTGATCCAAATAGGGTGAATTGAGTGCTGGTATCAACCATTACCTCTCGTTCTACGCCACCCTCTGATTCCTGCAGAATAAAATTGTGTAAACATATACTCAAGTTCAAACAAACCAAACATCATTTTGCCCTACAATCCCATCAGGTGGTGGTCAATGCTTGATGACCGGTAATAGTCACTCGGTGTATGACGCTTAGACTTCACCCAGAGAGACGAGCGTTTGGTCCATTTGGTGAACGATTCTGAGAAGGGTTGAAAAAGGGTATCTATCGTCAGACATGACCAGGAAAATGTCACGAGGACCTCATGAATATGTAGAACCGTAAAAGAATTGCTGCTACTCATTTTCGTTCCCGTAATTTGCCATGTCATCGATTTCCATTTTTCAATGCTACATGCCAAAGCCCTGCTGCGACAATAGGGACAGTAGGACGTAAAAAAAGAAGACCCAACCCGATGACTCCGAATGCAGCCGCCTAAGGACCGAGATCGATCGTGATCATCTATTTGGCCTCCTCCTCGCCCTCGCCCAACAGAGCGTTTCTCTTCGCCGTCTGTCTCTCCACCTTGCGCTCGCGGGCGGCCTTGGTCTTCGCGCGCTTGGCATCCATCTCGTCCTTGAGGGCCTTCTCGCGGGCCTTCTCGGCCTTGGCACGGTGAATCTGTAAGGTATCCGGCGTCAGCCAACCACTCATCTCAAATGTTGCAATCCAAAGGTATAGCTGGAGCGAGACTTACGTGCTCAACGAGAGCACGCTTGTGCTTGAAGGCGTTACCCTTGCTGGAGTGGTAAAGCTCGTGGTAAAGGTGCTTGTCGATCTTGCCGGAAGCACGGTACTTCACCAGAAGACGGCGAAGGACACGGAGGCGGCGCATCCAGAGGACCTGGCTGCATTGGGAATCAGTATGAATCGCCACCAGATTTATCAAATCGGTCTGCGAGTTGGAGACTTGTAGGAATCGTCGTCGGACATTTAGGGGTTTGCCCAAGTGATATCCCAAAAGAAACCTCCAACAGCGGACCGATCGATGGGAATGGTGTCGACGAACCTGGGCATACGGGCCTCAGCGGTACCCTTACGCTTACCGAAGCCACGGTGGCGACCGATGCGGCGGGCCAGGTTCAGCTCACGAGCACGGGACCGCGAGTGCATGGTGACGGGCTTGCGGATGATGAGGCCATCGGCGACGAGCTTGCGGATGGTCTGGCGAGAGTTGGCGTTGGAGATCTCGTTGACCTCGTTGGGGTCGAGCCAGATCTTGCGCTCACCGCAGCCGATGACCGACGCGGCAAGGCGCTTCTGAGTTCGCAGATTGACCCTGTGAAGACATTGGACATCAGCAATTTGTCCTTGGTGATGGGAGAAAACAAATATCGTCGCCCCGCCGTCGAATTGTTGAATGCCATCGTCGGTTTCGTCGCCCCCGCGTGTCCCGGGCTTCGAGAGACCCTGAAAAAGGCTTGCCCGGTGCAGAAGGCGACACAAATCGATTTGGGCTCGGTGGAATGATGGTGCAGTGCTCGTATCGTGATAACTTACATCTTGAATGCTGTCCTAGTCGATGGTCGTACCTACCGGGGGAGTCGAGGGTGTTGAAATTTCGAGAGGGGTGACAGGAGGCCAATTTTTCTGAAAGGCGAAGTGTGAGAGCAGAGTCGGGGCTGACTCTGTGTGGGCGATGTGGGGCGATGGGTAAGCGAGCCCGGAAAAATCGAGGCCACACTTTCGCATCTAGGTCACGTGTCGCCAACGACATAGGCCCTTTGGGGTGTCTTAGGGGCAGATGCACGCAGAGCAGAGCTACCTCAGGTACTTCCATAACATGTTCAGTGCACTTCAGGAAGATGAGCATTGCTCCGCATTGGACCTTTCCAAAGGTACCTGAGGTACCTCAAAATTAATGTCATCTTTCTACTCTCTCGTGAGCGCAGGTTGTTGTGGACAATTCAAAGAATGAGATGGCTCTCAGCGAACTCATTGAGAGTGTTTACATTTTGAATTCAGTGGTCATTCCAAGATATAGTAGGTTTGGCATCTCGGTAGCCGTTGCTAGAGGTACGGCATTGATTGTATGTCATCTCGCTCATCGCCGTTCATCCTTCGATGGGGCTCCATATCTATATACTTCAACCACGAATTACCTTCATCGTCTTCCATCTTCAGAACCGCACAGCTTGCAGTACTGGCTAGACTCTCAAGCTAGGGGGCAAATAACCTCTAACGCACCAAATCCGCCCAGTGATCATGTAAAACAAAACTTTTAAATTTCAATATCGACCCCTTCCTTTTACTACAACGGTCGTACCTATCTACTTGCCGAACACATCCTCACCCACATCGACCTTGCCCACGCTCCAGATCTCCTTCTCGTCCTCAACCTCATCGTTAGACAGACCCAAGCCCCCTTGACCACCCTCAGCCTCTCTGCGCTCACGTGCTTGAGCACCCAGCCGCATCGTGACGCGCTTGAAGTAATCCTGCATGCTCCTCTTGGTATTCGGCGGCAGGTTGGCGCTCTCAACGTACTTGTCAAACACCCGTGTCTCATCGTCCACCACATTGAATAGAGCCACAAACGCAGCTTCCGCAGCCAGCTTGACCGGAATAACAGGGTCTCTGACACTGGCAAATATGGGTCCTGCAAGCGCAGCAACATGCGGCCTGACCATATCCATGTCGACGCGGCTCATCGTGCGGACAATTACTAGAGCAAGTCGGCGCGAGTCGACAGGGCCACCCGGTTGAATTGTGTTCGCGAGCGCCTCGAAAATCTTCTTGTTTGAGTCAAAAGACTTGGGTGAATCTGAAAGAAGATATTTGCCAGTCGCAAGGATGATGTTGTCGGCAATGTAAGGCTGTGGAACGTGTTAGTTGTGCATTACTTGGAGGCCATTGCCATAATCTACTTACGTTCTTGTGAGACATGCCCTGGCCGAGGAGGTCGGGCAAGTCGTCCGCGAGAGGACTTCCAAGAAGACTCTTCGGAGACTCCACAAGCACTGCGTTCAGCGCAAGTGCTGAAGAATGGCTCCAGTGGCTAGTCACCACTCTGTTCTTGAGCAATCCATTAGCAGCCTCCTCGGGAACGTTCTTAATCAGGGCTCCGAGTAGCTTGGCATTCGTGATTGTCATAGCATCGTCCCTCTCGTCGGTATCCATGTCAATGAGACCCAAAACGGCGGTTCGCGATGTCTCGCCCATATTGGCGCCAGCTTTGCTAATGACTTCGTAGAGCGCGCTGAGCATAGCCGTCTTGACACCGGGATCTGATGTTTTGGAGCCAGTAACGAGCTCGGCAATCAGCGGATCGATACGCGGCGTGTACTTGATGAGGGTGCCCAGCGCCTTGGCCGCGCGGGCTCTGAGGACTTCGCTCGATGTGTCTGCGAGGGACTTGGCGAATGTGCGTTGAAGCTGAGGCAAGAATGGCTTCAGTGCCGCGGGCATCTTTTCCAAGAGGTTGTTGAGAGTCAACAAAATGGCAGACTTGACGTCGGTGGACCTTTCGGAAACAACACGAATGAGTGGACCAGTGATCTGTGTGACAAACGGCTTCAACGAAGCCTCGCTTGTCCGGTCGACGATATCGGAGATGGCCAGAGCTGCCTGTGTTCTCTGTTCCGGCGTGCCGTTCATAAGACCCTGCAGGAAGATAGGCAGGATGGCGTTGATACCCTTGGGAAGCTCGAAACCAGGCAAGTTCGCGCCAGCCACACCGACCTGCTGAAGAGTTTGTCTGGTGGAAATAACCAGGCCCTCCATCTCCTCCTTCTTGAGCTTTTTGGTGAACTCGCTGAGTGCAGCCCAGGCCCCCTTGACGACAGTCGTGTCTCTGTCATCGAAGGAGATGAGAAGCGACCGCACGATATCTTGATTGTAGCGCGAGTAATCCACTTCGCCAGCGGCAAAGAACTTGCCCAAGTGACGGGTCGTCGCTGCACGTCTTCGGTGATCGTCGTGCTTTGTGAGCTGAAGTAGTACATTCATGACTGTGTTAAGTCCGTCGTACTCGTCGATGGACAGGATGACAGTATCGAAAGATGTCTCGAGATCCTCTCGCAAAGCCTCGTCTTCGCAGGTGATGATGTTCTCCATCAGCGAGTTGATAATGTTGGGCAAACGGCGGTTCATAGCAGCACCGGCCACTCTCGACAAGGATGCAAGAGCCTTGGCATTGAAAGCAGAGATGGGAGGGGTAATAAGCGTGGGGATAAGGTTGGGAAGAATGATGTTTGAGCGAGTCGTCTCAGTGAGGAGGGTAAGCAAGGCTGACAAGGCGTTATCGGCGTTCTCGTCAGAGCGAAGGAGGTTGAGCAGGTATGGCAGGACCTGGTCCACAGCTCTCTTGCCCAGAATCTGCTGGAGAGAGTCGAAGGCTTCTGCGGCAGCCTCTCTAACGTCATCATCTGAGTCGGTGAGGGCTGTTCTGACGACAGAGATGAGCGTCTTCTCGTGGTCCTCCAGGGCATCCTCTGAAGCTGAGGCAATGAGTTCCTTGAGGGCAAGGCAAATACCCTGCTTGGCATCTGTGTCGGTAGAGGTTTGCAATCCCTCCTCGAGAGTAGGCAGTAGGGTGGAGAGAACACCATCTCCAGCTTTGCGAATCAATTCGCCAAGAGCATTGCTAGCAATGACCTTGTGTTCCATGTTGGAGCTTCCCAAACGCTTGATGATGAGTTGAGTAAGCGTCGGCACCAACTCCTTGAGAATGCGAGGGCTGGAAACCAGGGCCTTCCACACAGCAACGGCAGCAGAGCGGACGGCGTTGGCGGTATCGCAGCGGCAGACGTAGAGAGCAGAGAGAATCTTGTTTCTCTTTTCTTCGCCAAGGACCTCGCGGAGTGACGCTCCTGCCTCTCTGGCGCTCTCTTCATCCTCCTCTTCGTCCTCGGCCTTGCCACTGATACCGGTAAGGTTAAAGAGAAGGTCGCCGACAAGCTCGACTGAACTGAGACGAATGCGGTAGCTATCATCGGCCAAGCCGCGTTCAAGCTCTGGGAGTAGTAGATCGACGGCGCGAACAGCAAAGTTCTTGACGAGAAGGCGACCTGCACGAAGAGCAGTTTCACGGATAGACTCCACATCATCCGCAAGGCCGGACAAAATGGGCGGGATGATTCTGCCCAAGTAGTTTGCAAAGCTGTTGCCAAAGCACACAGGAAGGAAGATGAAGAGAGACATGAAGCCTTCGCGAACAGCAGGCTTGGTCGACTCGACGTTTTGCAGAATGGTCGGGAGAGTCTCTTCGAGTCTGGTGGTACCCAAACCAGCGAGAACCTCGCTGAGAGCTTGAGCGGAACCGAGACGGTCGCCAGCTCCGTTGTCTGCCTTAAGGGTTTGCATGAGGCCAGGGATGAGATCCGGCAGGGCATCCTCTCCCAGCTTCTCCACAAGTGATCCCAAAGCTCTGGATGCCGTGGCACGAGTTGTGGGGACCGGATCGACGATGGCAAGCTTGAGTCCTGCGACAAGGATTGGCAAGTGCGAAACCAAGTCTTTTCGCTCGGTGAGATGTGCAAGACTGCCAATGACCTGTGCTGCCTTGCGCTTGGTGTTTGAGCGGTCACCCAAACCACGTTGCAAGATTCTTGTGACCAGCGCCAGTGACGGCGCATCCAAATAGTGCACGAATTGGACCTTGATCAAAGAATCCAAGGCTTCGTCCGTGTATCTAGTGGGGTCGCTGAGCGCCTTGAGAAGGATGTCGACAAGGCCCTTGATCTCAGGGTTACTGATAACCTCGCCGAATCTCTTCAAGCTTTTGTTGGCACCCGAGCGGACCTCCTTGTGACTGTCGTTTAGAACACCAGTGAGAGGGGGGATGATGTCCGGCAAACTCTGCGCCAGCTGGTTGGGGTCAAGATAAGCCATGGCTCCCAGAAGGTCACAGGCTCCCTTTTTACTGCGCCATTGGTCGTCGTCCAAACCGTTGAGCAGGGTAGGAAGAATCTTCTTGACACCATATGAGCTCAGCTTGCCGAAACAGGCCTTTGCCGCTGCCAGGCAGGAGTCTCGGACGTTGGAATTGCTGTCGCCAAAGCCAGTAAGGAGCTGAGGAACGATTTGAATGACGTAGGGTTCGAAGAGACGGCCCAGGATGGTTGAAAGAAGCTCGTATGCTAGCAAGGCCGCTTCTCTCTGGTTCGCCTCCTTCTTGTTTTCCATAGCACCCCTCAGCGTCATCATGATGCGCTGGTCTTTGAGTGATGAAATGCCACGGCCTTGAACGAGACCGGCAAGACCATAAGCAGCACCTCGCTGCTCAGCATACTTTTTGGAAGTCAACAGAGTCTCAAGGACCTGAGAGAAATACTTGGATGACTTGTCTCCGTAAGCCCGTACCAAAGGTGGCAGACAATCAGCGATGGCGTACTGCACGGTCTCGGAAGGCGTGCTCAAGGTCGCCAGCAGTCTATCGATGACCACTGGGAGTTTTGAATCGCCCGGGTTCAAGTGACGCGCAAGCGCACCGTACATGATGATGACAGCCTCGTTGACACGGTCCGACGCTTCGGTATTCTTATCCGGACCTTCGAGCGTACGCTCGAATACCTTCATCAACTTGTCGACCATTCCCTTGCCATGTAAATCAATAGCGTGGATGGCTGCATCTAGCATCTCGCTACGGACGTTAGCGTTCTGGTCGCCCAAAGGCCCGCTCTCAATCAGGAA